GAGTTCAGACGTGTGCTCTTCCGATCTCCCCAAAACCCCAAAACCCAAAAAGAAAATCGTCATCGATTAGTAGTCTTGTAATAATTTAGGCTAATTAATATTAAACCTAAATATTATTATTAGTAGAATAATGCATACAAGTGATGGAAATTTTGAGAATTTAGACAAGCTGGATTGTGCAGTCATATTTTACCTTGATATTGGGCTGTTTTTAGTTTTTATCATCACGATCATATGATTAATTCTGCAGGCTAAACACAATTTAGATAGATTTCAGTACTCCACTCTAATACTCTTTACATTCATGTTTTAATGTAAGAATAGTGACTTATAATCATGCATTTCCTCTTGGGAGCATAAAAAGAGAAAATACTTGAATACCCTTTTAAATTATGAATTTCCATCTTTTGACAAATTTTATTTTAGTTTAAATTTTGTAATGGGGAGGCATATTTTTCAATATAAGTGATGACTTTGAGACACAACTCTTTATACTTTCAGACGTAGCTGTGAATGCTATGTATTTCTAGATTGTTCACGTTTTCAGTTTTAGATTGTAAGTAAAGCTATAAATTAGCGAAATAGAGTTTATAGATAATCTATATAGGTATTTTGCATAAAATATGATTTAATGTTATTGCTCAGATTCTATAGAGAACATGCGAGCCAAATTGTCTTTTCGAATGCTCTTATTATTCAGTTGCTATATATCGCTAACATTAACTGAAATGATATTGATCTAGTTGATAAGAGATGTCAGAAATTAGAATAAAGAAAATTACGGACTTGATTACTTTAAATTTATTATTCAGATGATAAAGGCCCTAATAGATCTGTTTATGCTTTTGTTTCTGATTGTATAAGTTAGAGTTTATTCTAGAATTTCAGAAATAAAGTCTCTGAAGAAAATTAGATAAAAGCATGGAATGTTCTGCTAGTTCAAAGGTATCTCATCCTTAATGATTATTGTGTATATATTCAGATTTGTAATTGGAGATATTTTTAGCCCTCTTTGGAGTAGCAACTTTATCCTAGGATATGTAATGGAATATGTCTGGGCATAAAAGATATTCTTTTATCAAATTATGATATTCAATGTGTTGAGCTACATTACTGCTTTTTATTTCCTAGGCTTTTACTATTACTTTTCTGTAAAGCCATCAAACCATTTAGACATTGAGAATTTAGAAACTACTAATGAGGAGATATGTGAAAAAATCTATCAAAATTCTATCAAATACACAGATCATGAATCTAAAAAGAATCTAACAATTACTAATAATCAATTCTAGCATTAGCATGAATCAATATTTATCAATAGTCCATCAGTACCTATGACCTACAAGATAGAATCATTAAGTTTGCAGTCTTTAGAGAACTGCAAAAAATATGATCTTGTAAATCAAGTACTTAAAAATCCAAATCATAGAGAAAATGACCAAATTAGCAGTAGTATCAATTGACTTTAAAGTAAAATAATCTAAATAACTGCACAAATCAATCGCCTAGTAATTATGAATATATTAAATACTATTTATAGACTTTAATATCAGATTTAGCTCTTTATTTAATTACTTAATTTCCTCATATTATAATGATCAGATTTATATCTTATGGGGTTTTGGGGTTTTGGGGTTTTGGGG